CCTCATGGAAGCAATTATATTTTGTAATAAAATACAATCTCAAGATCAAATTACAACACAATGTATACAATTAGATAGCATAAAACAAGTTTAATTAAAGCGCATTTTTTCCGGGAAATGGACCAAAATAAATTCCCTAAAAATCGAGTCTTTTAATTCATCTAGAAACCTGGCACTCCCCCACTACCTTTGACCCCACCACCAATTAGCAGACGCCCAAAAACGAATTTACCGCACCAGGTGGATGGCACCGCCCATTTGAACCCAAAACTTGTACCATGTTTTCTTTTTTCGACTGACAGACGTACGTTTCAATTATTTGGTGGACCTCTCACGCGAGATGCTCCAAATTCGCATGCCACAACAACTGACCGTGGTCCAATAAATCATTTGATTTGTACACTTGCCCGCGGGCAGGGGCGGAGGTGGAAAATGGTAGTGGGGGAGTGGGTAGTGGGGAGGGGGTGGAAGTCCAGGGGACTTGAACTCGGGGCACGTGGTGTGCGTGCCTTCCGGTGCTAAATCAAGGCGAGCGCTTTCGAATTGTCTTACCTTTTGGTGGAACCATGGACCAACATCAACCCACCACCACCACCACCACCCACATGTAGCCTCCCGTTTCGAATGGGGAAGCAACTGTAGTTAATATTTATGGCGATTTAATCTTCTCACTTGAGCGCTGCTCAGTTAAGTTTGATACAGAGGAGCCCAAGGGGGTCAGAGCTGCCCCACCCCCACCATCCCCCACTCCTTTACTCCCAGGATGACCCTTTTTTTGCTGGTGATGATCCTTGGAGCAGCTTTACCAACTCACAGTTTGTTTTGCGTGTCCATTTAATTTCCGCCTGGAATTGCTTAATCAAACAGAGCACTGGGGATAAACCTTACCCACTCCCTTGAAAACTCCACCCCTGACATCCAGCATATCTCCCCCTTTTTTTTCTCTGAACTCTGGACAAATCGCTTGAGTTTCATATGGACAAACACCAAAGTTGGCTTAATGAGTAGTTTAGCTCATGTTCCCACATCCATTCATGGACGGGGAAGTCAATTTTGGAGGGGGGTTGACTTAGAGGGAAAGGTGCCGGGGGGGTGGCTTGTGTGTGTGTGGGTTAAGCAAACAGCAATGTGCATTAGCAACAAATTGTTATTGTTGCCAGGCGAATGGCGATAAGCAAAAAGTTAAAGTTACTTTTGGCAACAGAGTGGGGATACAAGAGAAATGGGAAGGGCCAGAAACTAAATAAAATAAGATACTCTTGAATCTATACCCATATTTCAAATCTCATTGAAAAGTCTCATGAAAGAGCAAGACACATTAAATAACTATTTTTAAACCTCTAAAGTGTCTTGAAAAAACTCAGTATTCTCTAGTTTCTTAAACAGTAGATTTTGTGACTGGAGTCATAGGCTAATTCCCTGAAATTCAACGATTAAGATGGAGTATTTCCTCATTTCTCCCCATTAGTTAACTTTATCTAACTGATCACATAATCTTCCCACTTTCAACTCACAAGTTCATCCCTATTTACAGTATCCAGTGAAGTAGCAAATCGATGTGGAATGGAAATCGAGGCTTCGCGGCAACTCCGAGCTCTAATTTAAATTAATGACACACAACAATTGGACACGCCCCGTATGAGGGTCTGCAGCCCTTATTCTTTATTTTCAATTAAACAAATAGCTGAATTTGACATTTTTGCTCGGCAAAGAAAAGGAAAAGTTCAAAGGAAAAATCATAAACGGAAATAACAAGTCGATGAGGACGAAAAGAGGAGGAAAAACGCGATAAGAGCGATGACAGGCCATTCCCAACCCCCTCTCTTCGACGTCCCTGAAGTTCTTATCGCGATGGCATCGAATCCTGCGAGGAACAGTGGGAGTGAAACAGGCTCTTGGTCTAGGCAAATGTTTTTTTTTTCCCCCGCACATCCTCCCCCTGTCACCCATCTCATTCCTTTAAGGCGATTACTTGAATTTCCCGGAAAATGGAAAATGGCAAAAAAATGAACACATTGCAGTTCAGTTTCATTCATGATTCAATTAGCCACAGCCGAGTGAACTTTAAGGGGATAAACCAAACCTTTTACAAATACGTAAAAGGTACTGTAAAAAAACAATACAATGTCTCTTTAAGTTTTTATAATTTTTCAAGCGTACATTTAATTATAATTATTTACATAAAACTGATGGCATTGTCTTAAGTTTTCTAGGTGTAAAGCATTACAATATCTATTTATTTAAAACTTTTAAAGCCCTTCAAAAATCAGATTCTGACTAAAGCAATTAAAATGTAGAGCTCAATCATTCTTATAAGAAGAGCTAAAATTGCACTTTAAAATGCCCTCCAAACTCCAAATTCATTTATGCAATTTTTAACTACTGAAAACTAAGTTCAAGCGTTATCAACCATAACCAAAATTGGCAAATCCCTTCCATCATCATCAAAGATAACCAAGCTGCTTTAAAACCCCAGATTAAGTCCAGTACCCAAGTATCCGACAACCACTGACCAAGTACTCTCAGTCAGCCAGAGAGCTGGAAAAAACGAGTACAAGCATCGAGTACCTGGGTACAGTCACCTGTCAGTTGTCAGTGTCAGATGCATTGTAAATTACAAGTTCATTTGCGACTGGCATTACATCCGCTTAAGCGCTTAAGCCAGACCTTCTTACACGAAAACTTCACCAAGCTGCATAAATTATGAGCCATCGAGTGAAACAGTGGCTGAAACAGAAGGCGAGAACGAGATGGAGATGGCGACAAAGGGAGACGGACTGTGGACAAGGTACAGTCACCGATAATGGAACATAATGAGGTGCCATTAGCGAGTGTCGCGGCTAACTGTGCATTATGCATTTTTTGGCGCCAGCGAAGCGTTCAATTGGTGTGTATGTACTTAGCTTTCAGTGTGGCTGCACTTGTGCTGAACTTTTGATCTGGCTGTACTTAAGATGCACTCCACCACCGCCCTGGCCACTCTAAACTAAACAAAAATATTGTGTTAAAATTAACAGACACGAACCAACTAATGAATGATCTGTGCCCCAAGCATCATTAAGCATCGCAGGTTCACTTTTCACGCTTTATTTGATTAGTTCATCATTTATTATTATTAATTAATGGGGATTCGCAGCGCTCTCTGTTTATTATTAACCATTATTAAACACCCCGAACAATAACAAATTTGACGCGATTATCATCATAATTGCGGATATGGTCAGAATTCAATTTGTAGTATGTTCTGCGCTGGGAAATCCTAACAAACATAATAAGCCGCACGAAAACCAGTTTCATTTGTATTTCTATTTCGGTTTTCGCGTTCAACTGCAATCCAACATCGAGTTATGATGATGCTGCAAAAGTATTTATAAACATTAATCCCAGCTGAATGGGTTTATCGGTGGGAGAAAATGTGATACGAATAAATGAGGAAAGTAAAACTTAACTGACTCAGCTAAAAGTAGCTTAAATGAATGGTCAACCTTGAACTTATCAACCCATTAAGGACCTCCCATCGTTTTCACACCCATTTATTAACTTCAGTCAAACTGCAGAAAAAATATGATTTTTTTATTTTGTATATTTGCCATTTCAATCTGTTAAAGATAGTTTTTTGTACCTTTTTTTCTATTCGTTCACAGAAGAAAAAGGCGGAAAGAAAAGATGAAACCTAATTAAGTTCTACTGAATTTCAACATGGATCATCAACCCTGAACTCTTGAACCTTTGGCGACCGCCTGCTGTTTCAACACCTATTAATTGTCATTAGATTTATTCAGAAATCCATTGAGGATTTGGCCAAACTTTGCTACCGTTTTCAGCCCATACAACATCATCAGATCTTAATCGTCTCTGCTCTTCCCCATCATCATCATCAGTTCAACATCCACTGATCCCAATCAACATCATTATCATCATCATCAACGCCGACTTTGATGCCCCTCGAGTTGTTTTGTTAGAATAGAGCGGCGACTTTTGTTGTAATGGCCCTCGAGTGAGGGCATTTTTGGGTAGCCCCAAACACTCGAGTCAGCGAATCGCGAACCGGAACTCCGCAAAAGTGTTTTTCTCTTCGCAATCTTGGATTTTTTTATGGTTCTACCTTTAATAGCAACTGGGCGCGGAGATCATAGATTTAAAATAGAAATGCGGATCACTTTAATCCTGATATTAGAGAACTGTTCAAAAATTCTTCATTAAAATCTACAAAAATAAGGTTAGGGCTAAAAACAAATAAGGAGATATTAAACAAGCAATATATTATGACTTCACTAAGGTTCTATAATTTAACGCAGAACTTTTTATTAAAGTTATTAAAAAAATCAAAAAGTCAAGCTAATAGAAGCGGATTCAATATCACTTTAAAATATAAAATTTAATCCACAATAAAGATTTAATTGTAAATCTTTTATTCGACATTTGCCCATTTTAAGCCCGTAGTATTGAAAAAATGCATATACCTAAATCATGAGCAAATCTTGAGTGTGTTGCATTACACAAGGCAGATTTGAAACACAACCCTCAAAGGTTGACCCCTTTCCCCAACCCTTTTCACCGCCCCTGCTCTGTCGTTGCTATAATTAGTTTAGCCGCAGCATTTTGACCAAGTGCCAAGTGGCATGTACTACCAATATGCACCACTCAGCGGGTTGCAGACCAAAACCAAAACCACAGCCTCACCCACTAAAAAACCAAAACAAAAAAAAAACACAAAAGAAAGGGTGGTGCGGGCCTTGAGGGGAATTGAAAAACTATTCCGAAAAATTGTTTGCTGGTCGCGTCTGCCTTTGGCTAATTAAACGGCCAAACCAAACACAAGCGAAACAAAAAAAAAAAACAAAAATCTCAGCCAAGAAAAAAATCGGCAAAAAGGCGAAGAAGAAGTTGAACAGAAAACAATTAAAACCGAGCATGGAATGTTTGTCGGAGTATGAGTGTTTGATGGGGGGCTATAAAACCAAATCGCTCCAACGAATTCGCCAGCAGTTGCCGTTCAAGCGTTCCCAGATCGAGAATTCGCATCCATCCAGTTGAATTCTTTTTGTTTAATTTTTTTTAAGTGACCTGTGTTGATCTGTGATTTGTGAGAAGCGAGAAAATGGTGCGACCTCTGTTGACCGTTGCCGTTCTGCTCTTGGGCTTTTCCTCGGCCGTTCTGGCCGGACGTCTTAGCCAGCGGTACTTGCCCGCTCCGCAGGCCAGTCAGCTGCACTACCACGGTGTCAGCGGACAAGGACACGCTCGTCCTGGCGCAGGACATCCGGTTGCGACTGGCGGAGCCAGCTTCCAGCGCCAGCAGCAGCCACAGATTCCGATCGTGAGGAGCGACTACCAGAGCGACGCCAATGGCAACTACAACTTCGGGTGAGTTGGCAAATTTAATTATTGAAATTTTAGAGTTTCAAAATCAATAACTATTCCATATTAATTTCAATATTTTTCACTAAACAAAAAACCCAAGCGCAATTGCCATCTAAAACCACACAATACAATTGTATCTAAAGGTTCTCTTTTCTTTGGTTTTTAATATTATTCGAATATGTCCAGATGATAACCATAAAGATACATTTCATCCTTAGTTAAAAATATCCTGAATTCCTGATGGATCATTGTTTTAAGCTAGATTTTCGAACTAATCATGTTTTAATCTTATTGGTGTTATTCAAAGTAATCAAAGAACAATCGATCAAATACTATGGAACCAAAATTATTATACATGGTAAACTCAATTTCAACGAACCAAAAATGGAACTTGCAATTAAAAAAAGTGCTAGGAAACTTTTGATTTTAAGTATTAGTTTCACTCCCGACCTAAATGAAAAGATATTTGTTTTTATATTGAAATTTAAATTCATGAAGCTCTAAGGGCTTTTACGAAAAGAATCAAAATTAATAGTTTTCATTAAACCAACCCATTATTTTGCAGCTTCGACACGGGCAATGGTATCCATCGCGATGAGACCGGTGAGTTCCGCGGAGGATGGCCCCACGGATCGCTGGGAGTCCAGGGATCCTACTCCTACACCGGCGACGATGGCAAGCAGTACACGGTGAACTACAAGGCGGATAAGAACGGATTCCAGGCGGAGGGCGCCCATCTGCCCGTTTCTCCTTCGGTGCCCGCTGTCCCAGCTGGGTGAGATTCTATAACTATATGATCCCTATATTATATCACTATATTATATTGATATCTCAGTCGCAGCTCCTATGGCGCTGGTGGTGGCTATCGAGGATCGGCCTCATCCCATGTCCCAGCTCCTGCCCCGGCTACCCGATATCTGCCCCCAGGATATCGCCAGCGCAGGCACTACTGAAGGACATAATCCTTGTCGAATCAGCAATCTAATTTTTGTACTGTAAATTTCAATAAATTGATACTTTTTTTGGTAACTGTCAAATGATTTCTTTTTGGCTTAAGAAAAACTATTTTCTATTCACACTTTAGCTAATAATTATAAATATTAAAGTCAAAACGAAAGGGATTTAGTATTAAAAACCCCTTTAATACAAAAATGGGTTCTCTATTTACATCGCTATTAAATTGTCCTATAGTAATATAGATGTATATATATTTATATATATAAAAAAAAACCTCACAAAAACCACGAAAAAGGAGAAACCGCCTTTGTAGCTAATTTAAGTGAACAACTTCAGGGCCCCGCCCACAAAAAGCTGCCAAAAGAACACACGGCCACGCCTCTTCGGTGTTCGCCTCTTTTGTGGTCTTTGACTTTTGGCCAAAAAGCGAAATAAGTTCCCAATACAAACACAGAACTTTGATGGAAGGGGTGAATTAATATGCAGTTAAGCAGTTAAAGTCTGCAATCAAAACAAGCTCAATCCCTACTTTGGCCACGTTACTAACTTTTTTCGCCCTTTCATGCAAAAAGTCGCAACTTTTTGGCCATTGTCGCCTGGCATTAATCATAAAATAAAGCCAACTTTTCCCAACGTCTGAGGCTCTGTTTATTTTTGTCTCCAAGTTTGAGAAGAAAAATGACTAAGAAGAAAGGTGGGAAAAATAACATTTATATCGTTACTTAAGGTGATGGGATTTATGGTTTTCTAAGTTTTATTAGGTCTTTGAATCCGAAACCTGATTTATATTAATCTGAGTTCGGTTTGTTTCTTATAATTTAAATAATGTATTTGTATAGTTCCTTTAAACGCTCATTAAACGCTATCTGTCATTACCGCACCCAATTCCAACTTAGATCATAGCCAAATAAAATATGATTCCTTATTATTCGGAAACTTCTGGAAAAAGGAAGGAAAAACCGGCAGCAAGTGAAAAAAACGTCAAGCTCTGAGCCTTTCACAGCCTTTTCAAATGTAAATGCTCCCCGTTTTCCCACCGCTTTCCTTTATTTTCCTCTCGTTCTCCTCTTCTCTGTCAAGTTTCCTTCTCGCATTGTCTCTGAACTTTCTTCTCCGTTCTTTTTTTTCGAAATTGTTTTCGTTGATTTTTCCCCAGCTATTCTTGTGTCTTCGTCTTTTTCTAACCGTCGCTTGGTCGTTTAGCATTCGCATTCCGTTTTAGCATTAATTAAAATTACACAGAATTGCTCGGGGGCATCAGGGGGATTCCCAGAAAGGAGCAAGCGAAGGCGTGGGTGGGGGGTGAATAGGGGGAAAGGATGTTCTCATAAATTAAAGGCGCTTATGAATTTTATAAATTATTTTCCATGTTGCGGCCTCGCTTGGGAAGATGAACAATTGCCGGCTATGAGGGGAAAATGCAAAAGGAAGATGGCTAGGATACAGGGTGGTACACTAAAAACCATTTATGTTCTGGGTGTCAGGAATTAATTAATAAATCTTGTTGGGATGACAGTGTATTGTGGAGATGAACTCATAAAATGTCTTATTTTTAATTGATTTAGATTTAAAGTTAGCTTTTTTCCAAACGTTCTAAAAATACCTGTACTTTAAAAACTATTTTCATATTTCTTTTGAATTAAGAGATCGATAATTTAAGTTATTTTTGATTGTTTATTATTCAAATTTTTAGCAGAATGGCATAGCCTTTTTGTAAGTATAAGCCCTATGGTCTCTGTATTTTGTTTGAGTGTATAACGACCGGCCATTATGAACAGGCATCGTCCTGAAAACGCCCGAAAGTAGGCAGCTCTTATTGAATTTCATTAACATGTGAACTGGGTCTCCCAACTTGGGGGCGGGAAAATCAGAGGTTCTCGGGGGTGTGGCAACTGCAATCATTTGCATGCATGTCTGTGCATGTTTAACTACATTTCCACCCCCTCCACCCTCAATGAACTCACTTAATTTTATGCCAAAACAATGACACGCCATAAATTTAAACGGATTTGGCGTTGCGCCGCGAGCAAAAAAGCGAAGAAGCAACCCTTAGATGGTGGTTGGGGGTGTTTGGGTGTTCCAGAGGTGGCGTTTTAGGGGGGGGCCGGGGGTACTGACACTTGCCAGGGGCAAACACACTTTCGAACCTGTTTTAATGCCAAAGAAAATGCTAAAATCACACACAATGGCACGGGTAAACAGCGAGTGCCCTCAGGTGAAAAATTCCGCAATGGAAATAAATATTTGTCGGCGCTTAAGAACATTTTGTATAGTGTCATGTGTTTACAATATGAAAACACATAGCTTGTATCTATTTAAAATAATTTCACTTAAGAGTAGTGCTCAGATTCTTTCCTTAAATATTTAAAGTTGTTAAGAGTTAATTTAATAACTATTTAGCTGGGAAAATAAGTGTTTGAATAATGAATAATACAAATTTACTTCTTAATAATTATATATCTATATATTAAACACTTTCTCTTGAACATTTAATTTTAAAAAAGTCAATATTATCCATGGTATTCTTGATGTATTAATAGTTTTTAAAAAATTTTATACTGGCTTCAATCTCACAGATAATCTTCTTAGTTTATAGAAATGTTTTAAATTTTATGAAAACAAAGAGTTTAAAGCTTGACCCCAACTGAACTTAAGCTTGAATTTACTTCTACAACATATAGTTATAATTGCGTGCAAATCCGCACAAGGATAAATTGAGAAAAGGGAACCTTGCGTTTGTGTCAGTCAATTTCAATGTTAATCCACCTGTGTTTGGAATGGATGTGCTACGCTATGTGTGTGTTGATATTGATATGGCAGTTGCACGCACATTTTCCCCGCATTTTCCGCACTTTCCCCCCTTTTTCAGCATTTTCCCCCCCTCAGCAGTTACATTATTTAGCCTTAGCCAGAGCTTTTCCCCCTTAGCCCCACTTTTCCGACTTGGGTGAGTCATCTTCATTGGCAATGCGAGAACGTTGTTACCCGTCCCAGAGGACATCATTTTCATTAAAATTTTAATAGTCTGTGTGTGTGTTGCTCCCCCCATTCCCCTCTAAGCTCACACAGTGTGTTACATGTAATATTATAAATTTAGCAAGTTATGGAGTTAACTAAAGTGCCTTTAGCTTAACGAGGAGGAGAGTGCCAATGGCGGGGTATTTACCCCACAAACTATTTCATGGAGCTTATCGCACATTTGAAACAACTTTATAAGCAAAATAAGCCGACACTTGACCTCAAATTGGTTAAGCCTTTCACTGTAAAATTAACGTATATACAAATATAATTATATTTTTCATCCTTAAAAACGTTATTAAAAATTATTTTAAATTTTTTTATAACATATTTTTTGTTAGCAAATACTAAGTTCCATAATTATGATTGATGATTTTCCCTATTCATATATTTGCATAATTCTTTAAAGAGATGCTTAAATTTAAATTATTCCTGCTAAATATTTTTGATATTTAATTTTTGAAATGAAATGTTTTTCCACAAAAAGAAGAATTGGTAATTGAATGAATAACTATAAAACTTTGAAGGCTATAAATCTTTATGCACATGCCACTTCCGATCCCGCTAAATTCTTTTTTCCCCTTTTTCAATTCGCTTCGAGAGAAAATAAATCGAAGCGAAATGGAAAACAAGAAATTCCAATAAACTAATTTGCACAAAGCGTCGAGGAAACTTTTGGCAGCTGGTTGACGGGAGACCTTATGGACCAAAGGACGATTCAAGCCCGGCCCAATATCCTTAACCCCCTTTTAGCTTAAGCCCCACCCAATCTACTTAGCCCCCTAAACTTTGCCCAAGTATTTGCGTATGAATTTTAAGCAGCTGGAACAAATGCAGAGCCAATAAAAGGGATAAAATTGAAAAGCAGCCAGCATACATATATCCTCCGTATATATATACACATACATATATCATTTGCATATGTGTGCGTTGGCCGCAGAGGGACGCGTTAACTGGCAACGGTATTCCCCGGCCCCCAAACTCAGCGTAATTGTAACTGCTCACCCCAAACCATTGAAAAATATACAATTTCTGTACATAAAAGCGTCGAGCATCTTGTTGCATATTTGGTATAATAAATTAGCATCGCGTTTCGCATTATTGACTGGATTTTGAATAATAACACACAAAGGACCTTTCGACCCGCAGGATAAAGAAGGTGCAGCGTCAGAATCCACGGGATCCATGTAACTGAAGACCGGCGACAAATGGAGAATTCGAATGGAGCAACGGAAACCCAAGCAGGACCTCTAACAAAAGTGAACAGTTTTGCACTGCGACAAATACATTCCATTTTGTTAAAGATTTCAAATTAAATCAAGAAGAAAACTTTTCAACAATCAGCTTCAATCGTTTTTATGGTTATATATTTCTAAGCTAAACATAATTATTGTGCTTAACTATCTTATTTTAGTTTTCTATAGAACCATTTGGGAATTATAGGGGCACAGAGTAAAATCAATTATTTGTGAAATTGATTTTAAAACAACTTTTGAATAATCCAAATCAATCAATCGAATATAACCTTGCCATTCAAAGTAGCTTAATGCATGTCAACATTAAATCAATTCGTTAATCATGTTGGGGTGGTGATTTTCTCGCTGTGCATCACATATCACCAGCACAAAGGCAGTGCCATGTAATACATTCCGAATGCTGCACTGGAGGAGGCGAAGTCGGGATGTGGGGAGAATATCCTGCTGGTGTTTGGGGCGTTCACACAACTCAGCACAATTGCGCACATAAATTTAGTGCGCCAAATAATGCGGCGGGCGGAATGAAGTAAAGTGAAGTGAATGGCACACTCAAGTCAACGGCATGACGCCGCGGATTTCTCGTAACGGTGGGTACAAAATCTAAGATCAAGCTTACTTTAGTTTAAATATAGCACACAATTTCCGATTATTTAGAATGAAGAAACTAAAACATTGTAAATAACATATAAACTCTGCTGAAGATCCACTATAAAGCTTTATATCTATTATGT